GTTTGTACATGAGCAGAGTGAACAGGAGTGGGCTCAACACACATCCCTGAGGGGAGCCAATTCTGAGGGTTTTGGTGGAGGAGAAGTTGTGGATCCTCACTGACTGTGGTCTGTTTGTTAAGAAGTCTAAGACCCAGTTGCAAATGGAGGGGCTTAGTCCTAGTGTGAATATTTTGTCCATCAGAGTTTGGGGGATCATGGTGTTGAAGGCGGATGTGAAGTCCACAAAGAAAATATGGACGCAGGAGTCTTTCTGCTCCAGGTGGGTGAGAGCAGTGTGGACCACAGAGGAGATGGTGTCTTCTGTTGATCTATTCTTGCGGTATGTGTACTGGTGAGGGTCCTCGCTGATGTTGATGGTTGTTTTGATGTGAGTCATGACCAGTTTTTTGAAGCATTTAACGACTACCGGGGTGAGGGCCACTGACCGATAGTCATTCAGACCAGTCACCGTAGAGCTCTTATTAATTGGGATTATGGTGTCGCTCTTCAGGCAGGTGGTAACTGTTGCCAGGTGAGGGAGGAGTTAGAGATATCGGCCAGCACCTTGCAGAGCTGATTGGCACAGCCTTTCAGCATCTTCTCGAGATGTTGTCTGGGCCAGTTGCTTTGTGAGGATTAATCCTCCTGAAGGTCCTCTTTACTTCTGCTGAGGTCACGCTGAGAAACTCATCTTCAGATGGTGAGGTGAGTCTGGTGCTAGGCGGTCTGTTCGGATCTTCAAAGCATGCATAGAACCTGTTGAGCATCAGGCAGTAATGGGTCTCTAGGTTATTGTGAACCCCTGCTTTTATAGTCTGTGATGGACTAAATGCCTCTCCACACGCTCTGTGGGTCCTGTGAGGAGAAATGTCCCTGGATCTTCTGTGCATATATTGCTTTGGCCCTCTTTATACGAGCAGCCAGCTCTTTCCTTGACCTCCTCAGTTCCTGTGAGTCACCAGACCTGAAGGCAGTGTCCCTGGCTTTCAGCAGGGGACGGACCTCTGCGTTCAGCCAGGGCTTCTGGTTTGGGTAGCTCTTCACATTCCTGGTGGTGGTGACATCATCAACACACTTGCTGATGTATCTGAGGACAGCATATGTGTATTCCTCCAGGTCAAGTCCCCCCCCCCGAAGCTGTGCTAGTTGTGCGTGCAAAACAATCCTGCAGTGCAGAGTCACTGTTGCTGGGCTACGCAGTGATGGTCCTCTGTGTGGGTCTGGAACGTCTCAGGGGGGTAGGTAGACAGGGGACATAAAGATGAGATGTGTTCAGAGCGGCCAAGGTGGGCCGGGTTACGGCTTTGTATGTGTCTCGTATGTTGGGGTAAACATGGTCGATGTGTTATTTCCTTGTGTTGTAATGGCCACATGCTGATAAAATCTTGGCAGAGTGTCTTTCAGGTTTACCTGATTAAAATCACCAGTCACCAGACACGTAAAAATGTTTTTCATTTCAATGGTTTTATTTTATGTCTTAACATGTTAACGGTTTGTTATTGTTTGTGTTTTTCTTTTTTTTTTTTTGTGTGTTTTTGTTTGTTTTGTGTTTGATTTTGTTTGTTTGCTTTTGTTTGTGTTTTGTATTTGTTTTGTTTGTGTTTTTGTGTGTTTTGTTTAGTTTGTGTTGTTGTTTGCTTTGTTTGTATTTGTGTTTGTTTTTGTTTTGTTTTTATTTGTGTTTGTATGTATTTGCTTTTGTTTTTGTTTATGTTTTTGTTTTTGTGTTTGTTTTGTTTAATTGGCAGTGATTGTTTTTAAATGTATGTAAACAGATCGGATGTAAATAAACACGTTCAGACGAACAGATCTGATGGTCTCTGGTCAGATCCAGTTGGTTCTGGCTTCTGTGTCTGGTCTCTCAGGATGTGTTTGGTGTCGGCACCAGTCCCTCCCAGAGGGGTGGAGTTCTCTCAGCCAGTACCTTCAGAACTTTGGGTCTAGTTTGGATCTGAGCTCTGTGTCTCATCGATGATGCATGAGAGTTAAATTATAGACGGGGGTCAGAGTGCTGCTTCTGCTGACGCAGGGAGGGGGACTGGACCCACTGGATCAGGTCCTGGACTCAGATCCTGGAGATGAGACTTCACTGGGTTGGGCCTTGGGATTGGATCTGGACTGGATCAGCTCCTGGGATCTGAACTGCCCCCCAGGTTCATCTTGGTCTGCTATATGAGATGAAAGAAGTTTTTTTTTTTTTTTTTCAGGCTTTGTGAGACAAAAACTCCTCAGATGTCCCAGAGACATATGTGGGTGGATTAAAGGACATAAGACAGGACCACTAGACTGGATATAGACCTCCAATCCTCTAAACATCAAACCTTCTCCTTTGGTCATCAGCGCCTCAGCTTCTTGTCTTCATTTGTTGTTTGGGTTCAGTCTTTAAATGTTCTGAGATCTCCTAAATGTGGTGGCATGGTGGATTAGTGCGTAGAGCTGTTGCCTCTCAGCAAGAAGGTTGCCAGTTCAAATCCCGGCCAGGGACCTTTCTGGGTAGAGTTTGCATGTTCTTACTGTGCTGTGTGGGTTTTCTCTATATACTCTGGTTTCCTCCCACAGACAAAAAACATGCATGTTAGACTGACTGGTAACTCTAAATTGTCCCTAGATGTCTCTGTGATGGACTGAGACCTGTCCAGGTGTCCCTGTGATGAACTGAGGCCTGTCCAGGTGTCGCTGTGATGGACTGGAGACCTGTCCAGGTGCCCCTGTGATGGACTGGAGACATGTCCAGGTGTCCCTGTGATGGACTGGAGACTTGTGTGTGTGTGTCCCTGTGATAGACTGGAAACCTGTCTAGGTGTCCCTGTGATGGACTGGAGACCTGTCCATGTGGTCCCCACCTCTCTGCTGGACATGGACACCTGGACTGGAAGAAGCGGGGAAAGACGATGGATGCGTCTCCTGTCAGACATTGTGTCTCTGAAATTCTGGTTATGAGATCCTGACCCCTCAGAAGATAGTACCTGTTATCCAGACAGAACCAAAGACAAGACTGAAGAACCACTACGGTCTGACAGGCAGGTCAGAACTTCTCTACAGCTGCAGTTCTGTGGGATGGTCCTGGTCCAAACCAAACCTGATCTAAAAAGGAGACCTGAGAACCAGAAAACCAGGTCATGGAGGAACTGAAGGCTGGCCCAACTCAAAAAATTCCTGCTGGTTCTGACAGAAATTTTTCAGAACACACAGAAGGTCTCAGGTTGTTGTGTTTGGTTCTGAGTATCTACAGACTGGTCAGGGTGTCCATGTTGACCTGGGTCCACCACCCACTTCTCCTCCAACAGACCCATCAGAACTGTCCTTGGAGAATGGGGTGGTTCTGATGATCACATGGCTGTTGTTCAGTTCTTCAGTCGGTTCTGTGAGGATGGAGCAGAGTGTTGGCCTCAGGCTAATGGGCTAATGGGCTAATGAGCTAACAGGCTAATGGACTAACAAGTTAATGAGCTAACAGGCTAATGGGTTAACGGGATAATGGTGCTAATGGGCTAATGAGGCTAATGGGCTAATGAGCTAATGGGCTAATGAACTAATGCGCTAATGGGGCTAAGGGGATAATGGGGCTAACAGGCCTCAGGCTAATGGTCTAATGAGCTAATGAGCTAATGATCTAACAGGCTAATGGGCTAATGAGCTAACAGGATAATGAACTAATGGGATAATGGGATAATGGCACTAATGGGATAATGGGGCTAACAGGATAATGGGGCTAATGGGCTAATGAGCTAAGGGGCTAATACGCTAATGGGCTACTGAACTAATGTGCTAATGGGGCTAAGGGGATAATGGGACTAACAGGCCTCAGGCTAATGGGCTAATGAGCTAATGAGCTAACGACCTAACAGGCTAATGGGCTAATGAGCTAACAGGCTAATGGGCTAACGGGATAATGGGCTAATGGGCTAACGGGATAATGGCACTAATGGGATAATGGGGCTAATGGGGCTAAGTGGATAATGGGGCTAATGGACCTCAGGCTAACGAGCTAATGAGCTATTGGGGCTAAGGGGATAATGGGGCTAATGGGCCTCAGGCTAATGGGTTAACGAGCTAATGGACTAATGGGGTTAAGGAGATCATGGGGCTAATGGGATAATGGGGCTAATGAGCTAATGGGCTAATGGACTAACAAACTAATGCACTAATGGGGCTAAAGGGATAAAGGTGCTAACAAGTCTCAGGCTAATGAGCCAATGGGGCTAAGGGGATAATAGGGATAATTGGGCTAATGGACTAACAAGCTAATGGACTAATGAGCTAATGGTCTAATGGGGCTAAGGGGATAATGGGGCTAATGGGCCTCAGGCTAATGGTATAATGAGCTAATGGACTAATGAGGCTAAGGGGATAATGGGGCTAACAGGGTAATGGGGCTAATGGGCTAACAAGCTAATGAGTTAAGGGGATAATGGGGCTAATGGGCCTCAGGCTAATGGGCTAATGAGCTAATGGACGAATGGGGTTAACAGAATAATGGGGCTAACGGGCCCACCTCCACAGAACTTTACAGACAAACCATGTCTGAAGTTCTGCAGGGCCCTAGAGCCTGCTGGGTCTCAGAAACAGATGACTGATGAGATTCTGTCTGGCGCGTCCTGGCCCGGAAACATACCGTGAGCAGAGTTTTTAATATCCAAAACTAAGCCATCAGAACCGGTTCTGCAGCAGCGTTTATTAGTTTGGGTGTCTGGAGGCGCCGCAGCAGAACCTGAAGATATTAGAGAAGAATCGTCAGGAGGACAGATGTTTGTGGACGAGATGAGTTTAATCCTGTGACAGGAAGTTCTGTCGACCCGGTTCTGTTAGAGCACAGACAGCATGACAGGAAGTTCTGGACCTGTCAGAGGACCCAGATCTGTTTGATTTTATCTCAATAAAATTAAATCAGAACTCATTTGTAACTGGGTTCATTAACCACATGAAAGGCCTTTGGATCAAAACCACTTTCCTTCAACCTTTATTTCTACAGGTAAATCCCACTGAGCCTCCAGGACTCATTTACAAGAGAGACCTGATTTAACAAAGAAAGATGAAACAATGGACAACAGCAACAACAATAAACAGTTATAAAAAGTCATACTACAGTTTTTGTTTTTGTTTATTTTAATAACAAATAGAATGGCTAAAAGAAAAAGGTAACTTAAAAAAACAGCTAGATTCTAAGACGAATGTAGAAAACTAAAAACAGGAACACTTAGATACTGGGGTCCGGTTCTGAAGCGTCATCACATCAGAAAGTTCTGAACATTATCCACAAAATTATTTTTATTCTTTGATTTGTGGAAGAAAACAGAACATGAGTTCTGCTGAAGTTCTGGTCTGACCCAGATTGAGGATGACTTTACGTCCAGGAGACGGTTCTGTCCAAACACCTGTCGTCTGATTCTGGTCCCCCCTCAGAGGACTCTCAGGACTCCTTAGACCTCCTGTTCGTCTGTATTTAGACCCAGAACCTGAGCTCAGTTCATTTGTCCTCTGTTCTGGTTCCGGACCGCTCCAGTGTTCTGATCCATCGTCCTCCCGCTCTGAATTATTGATGAGCTTCCAGAGACAGCGAGCGTCTCCTCCTGCCATCGATCTGTCCACAGAAACCCTCCTCCTTGTCTCCTGAGACAGTCCAGTACTCTGACAGCCTGACAAAATCCTGGTTCTGATTCACAACGTTTGGGTTAGAAAGATGTTCTCCGGTCAAACTGGACTTTTGGACGGGTTCCTTTTAATTCTGTCAGAAAAACAAAAAAGAAGTAAACAAACAAATAAACAATAACAAACAAACAAACCTCCAACAGAACCTGGCTCAGGATGAGTGGCCGTCTGCTTCGACCAAGGTGACACGTTAAAAACTTTCAGACAGTGAGTGAGTGATCAAATCAAAGAAGTAGATGAACAGTCAGTGAACATAATTAAAGCTGGTAAAATACTGACTGATGATAAAGAGATCTTGGACAGATGGAGATCTTATTTTGATACACTGTTGAATGAGGAATTCCCCAGAGAACTTCTTCTTTCTGCTTTTCCCTCTTCAGGGTCTCCACAGCGAGTCCTCCTCCATCTCACTCTGTCCTCACTCCAACTACCTCCTTGTCCTCTCTAACTGCATCCATATGTCTCCTCTTTGTCTTTTTCCTGCAGCTGCATTTCTAATATCCTTCTATCAATATACCCACTGTCCCTCCTCTGGACATGTCCAAACTACTGTCCCTCCTCTGGACATGTCCAAACCACTGTCCCTCCTATGGACATGTCCAAACCACTGTCCCTCCTATGGACATGTCCAAACCATCTCAGTGTGTCCACACTAACTTTATCTCCCAGTTGTTCAACCTGTGCTGTACCTCTGATCATCTCATTCCTGATCTTCTTCATCCTTGTCACTCCTAAGGAGAACCTGAACATCTTCACTTCTGACACGTCTAGTCTCCTGTCTTTTTGTCCATGTCTCTGTCTCCAGACCATACAACATAGCTGGTCTCACCACTGTCTTGTAAACTTTTCCTTTGACCTTTGCTGAAACTTTTCTCCATCACTCCATCCTGCCTGAACTCTCTTCTTCTCCTCTTCACCACACTCCCCATGTTCCTGGACAGTGGACCCTGAGTCCTTGAAGTCCTGCACCTTTGTGACCT